CGATAGTTGTTGGTAGGGATGGCACCCTAATGTCGAAACATGTTTAGAGGTGTTCTGCACACCATCTTATACAATACCGTATCCCTCGCCCACATGCTCCAGTAGGCTGGAGTAGCTACCCCATTCACAGTATCACCAGGCTTTCCCATGGTTGAACTGGCAGGTGTGGCTGCCAAGGCATGCGGCGGACGCATACCAGCCAGCATTTCAGGTGCAATCGGAAGGTATGTTGTACCACTCCATCTAAGGGTGGATTCCCCAACCTTCACAAGCACTGACTTACAAGGGTAGGAGGAGCCAAGCGCTTTACAAAACACATGTTCGGGGTTACGCCTTCCATTAAGGGCATCAATGCCACGCTACAATCCTTCTCCTCCCTCAGCACGGACGACGACGATTCCGCCAGCCAGGCAGGGACGCCTTCGATCCGATTCGATGTGATTCGTTTCGCCAGCCGGGGCCGCGATTCCGAGTCGATTCGATTCGGACCGAGTCGCCAGCATCGGCCAGGGTTGGCCAGAGGCGGCGGTCCGATTTCGATGTGATTCGGTGGCGATCCGATCCGTTTCCGATCCGATCCGACTTCGCGGCTCGATCGAGCTCAGGCTTGTCAGGCCGACGACAATGAAAAGCAGCCCCCGCCGCCGCGAGAAGAGGCGCCAGCAAGGGCGCGGACCCCGACAGAGGCCTGACGCTGGCCGAGCTGAGGGAACTGTGGCGCAAGCACGACTCGAACGAGTCAGGCGGCAGCGCTTTCGGGGTCGGCGTCGGCGTCGCTGGCGGGATGCGGGAAGAAAGAGACGCGCAGCCAGCCTGGCTCGAGAAACGCTGTTTGGGGATACTGGACTCTGGCTAGTTATACTTTGTGCGTTTGGAGGGCCTCTTGGGTGTCTTTGAGGCATCTTCGGGCGCCCTGAGATTGTTTTGGATATCCTCTGGCGCGTAACGGTCGTTACCCGGGCCACCCCAGCCCCCCAGGGAACAGTAACGATCGTACGTGGGGGGGCCAGGACACCCCACATGTTGGTGCTTGAAGGCATGCTGTGTTGCTCGCAGGTACTCATTGGGCACCCTGCCGGTGCTCGCAGGCGCCCTGCCGGTGCTCTTAGGCGTTGCGCAGGTGATCGAGCAGGCCCATGTACATCGCGCTCGCAGGCATAGCGTGGCATTCACGCGCAACCCATTGCGACCGCAGCACACCCCCGGTCCGACGTGCCACACCCCAGCGTTGCAGTTACCCGGACCCTCCCGTGCAACAGCAAACCCAGGATTCCAGGACAAGCCTCCAGACTTCTACCGAACAAACCTCCGGACTTCTACAGAACAAACCTCCGGACTTCTACCGACGAGGTTCCTGCAGATCCCCCTGGGGCCGCCTGGGGAGGTCTCCTGGGGCCGCCTGGGGGCCGCCTGGGTAAAAGGAAATCTACATCCTAGGGCCGCCCGGGGAGGCATCCTGGGGCGTCCTGGGGAGATCTCCTTGGGCCGCCTGGGGAGGTCCTCGGGCCCGGGGAGACATCCTGGGGCAGCCCAGGGAGACCTCCTTGGGCCGCCCAGGGGGGCCTCCTGGGGCGTCTTGGGGAGACCTCCTTGGGCCGCCTGGAGTGGCCTCCTGAGGACTCCTGGGCCGTCCTGGGGAGACCTCCTGGGGCCGCCTGGGGGGACCTCGTGGGGCCGCCTGGGGGGGTGGGAGGCTCCTGGGGCCGCATGAGGAGGCCTCCTGTGGGCATCCTGGAGAAGCCTCCTTTGGGCATCCTGAGGGGTCTCCTGGAAAGGCCTCCTTGGGATTCCTGGGGAGATTTCCTCTGGCTTCGTGGAGAGGCTTCCTTGGGCTTCTAGGAAAGGCTTGAGGACGCCTGGAGAAGCTTCCTCGTGCCTCCTTGTGGAGCTTGTTTGAGCCTCCTGGAGAGGCGACCATGGGACGCCTGGAGAAGCCTCCTTGGGGCGCAGTGGAAGAAAGGCTGGGGAGCCGTCGTACCCCAAGAGGGGGAGGATGGAGGAGGAACCAGGGGAGGGGGGAGGGAGAAGAAGGATGAGGCGGATGAGGAAGAAGAGGAGGAGGAAGAGGAGGAGGAGGAGGAGGAGGAGGAGGAGGGCGAGCAGAAAGGCCAGAGGCTTCTTGGATGCATCTCGTAGTTTCTTCGGGTATCTCTCGAGAGCTTCTTGTAAGCCTCTTGCGGCCTCTTTGGGCCTCGTGGCGATCCTGGGGGCCTCTTGAAGCGTCCTGGGTGCCTCGGGGGAGCCTCTTCGGGCCTTTGGGGGTCTCTTGGGGATGTCTTATGGGACTCTTGGAGGCGTCTCGGGGGCCTTTTGGGGTATACTGGGCGCCTCTTGGGGCACTCTTGGGAGCCGCGGGATCCATATTGAGGCCATCTTGGCGGAGAGCGATCAAATGAGGGGCCGCAGTAAATTAGCCCCCCCAGGAGGCCAACATTAATGAGTTTGGCCTTCTCGCCGAGGTCTCTTGGAGCGCCTTGGGTGCCTCTGGCGGGCCTCTCTCGGGGGTCTCTTGGGGGCCTCTTGGGAGCATTTTGGGGGCCTCTTGGGGTCCTCTTGGGGCCTTTTGGGCACCTCTCAGGGCTGTCTCGAGGCACCCTTCGGAGCCTCGGGGGGGATCTTGGGGCCATCTTGGAGGTGATCGATCAAATGAGGGGGGCTCCTTAGTAAGCCCCCCCCCCCCATAGGAGGCCAACATGTGGCCAAAGCATTCGGAACATGACTGGTTGTTGCCTTCTCGCCGAGGCCTCTTGGGGCGACTTGGGTGCCTCTGGGGGGCCTCTTGGGGGTCTATTGGGAGCCTCTTGGGGGCCTCTTAGGGCTGTCTTGGGGCACCCTTGGGAGTCTGGGGGGCCATCTGTTTGGGGCTCGTGGATCGCGGTTGGAGCGAGTGGTCTCCCAGCGTTCCGCCGTGTCAACGAGGCCCAGGTTTCAGCGGGTCAGGTATTGGTAATTCTGGTCCGCGCTCGGAGTGAGTACATTGCACAGAATTCCGCAGTGTTCCACGCACTTCGGTCTCAGTTGCAGATTTCATGTGGCCATTGTGCTCGCGGTCGGAGTGAGCGCCGTGCACAGCATTCTGCTGTGATTCATAATTCCATAGGTATCGAGGTGTTGCCATCGGGGCCTGCGGCTCAGCGGTTGGAGCCACTGACCTCCGCAGCATGCCAAAGCTGGCTAGCTGTCTCGCTCGGGCGTTGTTGTCACCGATTTGGACCGAACGGCATTCAATCTAATTCGCCCTCGCCTTTTGCGTTAATGTGCATGTGCTTCTCGACTACCCGCTCCCCGTGGCTGTGAACTTTAGCTTGGGCCCTAACGGTTTGGGATATGGTGCAGGTTTCTGCAATTCGAATTGTTTCCGCGAGCGGCCCCACAGTTGAGCTCGCCCATCTCGTTGATTAAGTGACGAATTTCAGGGCCCGTCTCGCAACATAATGTTGTTCTCCGCCAAGTAGCAACATAGCATGCTTATGGGGGCCTCGCGAATGTTCTTCCAGCCTCGGCCTGCTGTGTCTGCGCAGAGGCCTCGCCTTTGCAGTATATACCGCCACCGTTGGTCTCAAGCTCCCGCCCACGCCACCCGAAAAGTTTGATAGGGATATGGCCCAGATTTCTGCAAGTCGAATTGTGTCCGCGCGCGGCCCCACAGTTGAGCTCGTTCATCTCGTTGGTTCAGTGGCGAATATCAGGGCCCGTCTCGCAACATAATGCTGTTTTCCACCAAGTGGCCCAAAAAAGCATCGTACATTCTAAGACATTGTTTTTCTAGGGGGCGTGGGCGGGCTGAGGGGGAAAGAGGTGGATTGGTTGGGCGCCCGCATTCACATTGCAGTTTTCGTGTGTAGTGCGAAGCAGAAGACCCTCGCAAACTCATTACACACAAAACAAGTTTTCTACTAGCTATGGGCGGGCCGAGGGGGAAGGCGGGGTGATTGGTTGGGCCCCCATGTTCCCACAGCAGTCCCCATGTGTAGTTCGAAGCAGGCCACGACCGCAAATGTTCAGAAGTGGTGTCATACGGGCCATGGGCGGAGAGGGGGAAGGCAGGTGATTGGTTGGGGCCCCGCGTTCGGACCACGGTTTACGCGTGCACTTCGAAGCAGGAAACGTTCGCAAGTGTTCAGACATGGTGTCGTGGATTCCGGGGGTAAGGCGAGGGAGAGATACGAGGAGGGGGAGAAGTGACGTGGGCGCATGTCTAACCCCATTGCTTTCTTCCAGCAAAATGATTGATTATATAAGGGAGTCTGCGGGTCCAAGATCTGTTGCTGAGTTTCTGTTGTATGCGGGTTATTTGCTTCGAGCTGACTTGTGCCATCTTGTATACATACAATATTGATTTCAAACGTCCGACATCGCCGTCAACAAAATGATTGATTATCTAACGGCATCTACTGGTCCAGGATTTGGGTTTGATCTGTTGTTGCGGGCTCTGGGAGGCGGAGGAGGGCTTGCGGGGGGAACCGCACCCATACCGCAATGTTCGTGCGTGGTTTGAGGTGGGAAACGCTCGCAATATTCAGAAACATGTGATTCTAGGGGCCACGGGCGGTCTGTAGAGGGATGAGGATGACGTCCAGGAGACCAGGAATGCCGAGGATACGTCCTGAAGGAGCGTGCATGGGGCCCGGGGGGGCGGAGATTCATTCGGAGTGAATGGGGGGGATTTGCGTAGGGGTCCCCGCCCTGCAGAAACAGATTGACCATAATACATCTTATGTGTCTATCGCCCGAAGACGGCCCAAGAGGCTCCCAAGAATGCCCCCGGACGTGCCAAGAGGGTCCCAAGACCGCCCAGGAGACCCCCAAGACGTCCGAAGAGGCTTCCGAGAGTGTTCCAAAGGGACCCACGAGAGGAAAAGCGAAGGAGCCTTCAGAACCCTCCCACCAAAGATGGCCCCCAACACCCCCAACGTGCCCCCAAGAGCCCCCCCCCCCCCGAGGGCCTCCAGAGGAGGGACAGAGCATGCGTTTCTGCTTCCCCGTATCCCGGCAAGGAGGGCGCCCACGGCACACACCAGCACCACGCCCTCTTCCCTCGTGGCTCAAGTCAGTTTCGAGACAGCCTGCTGCCGACCGCGACGTCGCGGCCTCGACGCCTGCCCTTTCGGCGCTCCCCCCCCTCGCCACGCCGACCGGCATGTCCACCACGAAGCCTGCCCCGAAGGCCGGGGGCGACCCGGCCCCAGCGCCAGTGACCGTTGCCAGCATGGCGCCCCTGCCGCGCGGCGGGCAGCCCGCGGCGGCGCCTGCCGCCCCCGAGGCAGCCGTGGCCCAGGCCGGTGCCGCCGACCCGCCGCTGAAGCCCAAGCCGCCCCCAGCCAAGGGCAGGACGGAGCTCGAGGCGCCCGCCAGGCCCGTCGCCTCGATGTTCGAGAAGCCGGCGCCCTCCGCGGCGGAGCCGAAGAAGGGCCACGCGGACACCCCGGGCGGGCCCACCAGCAGCCACGACCCCGCCGCGACGCCGCAGAGTGGCAAGGCCGCCTCGCTCGTGCCCGGGGCTGCCGTAGCCAGCAAGGCAGCGACAGCCGCGGCACCTGCCAAGGCGTCTGCCCCCGTGGCGCGCACCTCGGCCGCCGCCGTGGTCACGGAGGGGCAGAAGCACATCACTTCCAAGGAGCGCATGGCAGCCACGGGCTCCGTGATGGCGGCGGGCTCTGGCGCCCAGGCCGAAGTTCCCAAGGCCCCACCTGCGGCCAAGGCGAAGGCCTCCGCCGCGGCGCCCTCGGCCGCGGCCGCCGCGCCCACCACCGCGGCAGCGGCGCCCCCTGCCGCGGCCGCCTCCGCGCCCAAGAGCGTGCTGCAGATGGTCACTGGGAAGCCGGAGCCGGCGCTGGTCTCGGGCACGGGCTACCCGAAGGCGCAGCCCAGCCTGGCATCCGAGACCATGGGTCCTGCTCGAGCGTACGCGAAGTCGGCCGCGGCGGCCGTCGCGGCTGTTCCAAAGAGCGCCGGGGTGCCGCAGGAGGGGCCCGCGGCGGTGGCGGTCGGCCGTGCTCTGGCCGCTGGTGCCGCAGGCGTCAGCACCTCTGGCAAGAAGCCCACGGTACCGATCGGCAAGAAGTACCAGGTCGTCTTCGTGACCAGCGAGGTCGCGCCCTTCTCCAAGACTGGCGGCCTGGGCGAGGCCATGGACGGCCTTCCCGTCGCGCTCGCGGCGCTCGGGCACCGCTGCATGGTCATCAGTCCGCGCTACGACCAGTACAAGGACGCTTGGGACACGAGCTTCTGGAGCTCCGTCACGATGGGGGGGAGGCAGGAGCCCGTGCACTTCTTCCACTCCTTCAAGCAGAAGGTAGACTACGTCTTCGTGGACCACCCTACTTTCCTTGAGCGCGTCAATGGTCTGTCCGGCTCCAAGTTGTATGGCCCGGAGTGGGGCAAGGACTTCGCCGACAACCAGTCTCGGTTTGCATATTTCTGCAAGAGCGCGCTGGTAGCCATGAAAGAGTTGCCTTTGGCAGGCTACCCGTACGGCGAAGACGTGGTCGTGGTGGCCAACGATTGGCACAGTTCCCTCGTGCCCATGTTTATCGACGCCGAGAAGTACGCAGACGCGACCGCCTGGAAGAACACCAAGACTTTCTTCTTGTGCCATAACGCAGTATTCCAGGGCCGCTTCGAGCTGGAGCCGGGTTTGGCAGAGGTCTTCGGTGTGCCACAGGAGTATATTGACAGCATCACTTTCCAGATGCCCTTGAAGGTCGGCAAGTACAACAAGAAGGTCAAGGTGGTGAACACAATGGCAGCGGGCCTCCGATACTGCGACCGGGCGCTCACCGTGTCGCCCTCCTACGCCTCCGAGTGCGCCGTCGACGCAGAGAAGGGCGTGGAGCTCGAGCACCTCTTCGCCATGGCCAAAGTGACTGGCATCCTGAACGGCGTGAAGGATCGGCGTCGAGCGAGGGGGGAAAGTGGAGAAGGCCCTCTCATGAGGCAGCGGGGCTTCTCAGAAGCCCTCTGGCCTTCTGAGAGGTTTTCTGCGTCTTCGGGGAAGGCGCAGAACACTCCTCAGAAGGCTGGGGGTCTCCCGAGCCTTCTGAGAAGGCCCGCCCCTTCTCACTCCCCCCCCCAAGCTCGCCGCCGAAAGGAGGGAGTGTCCCCAGAGGAGCCCAACTTCGTCACCAAGACCAAGATGTGCTGCGGCACCTTCAATGCCACCACAGTCGACGTGGCCAAGGCGCAGCTGAAGGCGGCGTACCAGCAGGAGTGCGGGCTAGGTGCCTCCCCGGGCCCCATGATGTGCTTCATCGGCCGCCTGGACGCACAGAAGGGCTACGACCTGCTGCTGGAGAGCCTGATGGAGGTGCTCGAGGACACCGAGGTGCAGGTGGTCATCGTGGGCGCCGGCCGCGCCGACCTGGTGGCACAGACCAAGGCGGTGGAGAAGAAGTTCCCTGAGAAGTTCTACTACGCCGGCTGGATGGGCCCGGAGCGCTACGCCCTGCTCGCCGGCTGCGAGTACACGCTGCTGCCATCCCGCTGGGAGCCCTGCGGGCTGGTGCAGATGGAGGCGATGCGCATGGGCACCCTGCCCATCATCGCCCCCACCGGCGGCCTGAAGGACACCGTGGAGGACGGCGTGAGCGGCCTCTGGACCGACGCGGAGATGACCGTGGAGGCCGAGCTGGACGACGCCTCGAGCGAGTCTATCTCCAAGGCGATCCGTCGCGCTTGCGAGATCCACACGAGCACTCCGAAGAAGGAGGTCGAGATGATGAGGGCCGCGATGGCGGCCGCTGCGGAATTCACCTGGACCAACTCAGCGCTGCAGTACGAGGCCATCTTCGAAGAGGTCGGGGCCGTGGATGTCCTCGCGGCCGCAAGGGATAAGACGGTGACACTGGAGACGGACAAGCAGGTCTGCTGAAGTCGACTATGATTCCGGCCGCGGCGCGAGCTCGCGCTGTGGACGGAGTTGGACAGGGACGGAGCGGCGCTGGATTCTGCTCGTGGCTGGCCTGCCGTGGCGGCCAGCTCGAGGCTCTTGCTGCGTGCGCAGCCTCCAGATCTGATCGGGAGCTCCAGCTGGGCAAACCACAATGTTATTTCAAGTCCCCGATTTAGGACGAGCTTGCAGTGCTTGCACCAGCATGCGCCGCTCGCATCGACGAGGGCAGCTCTGGACCATTGGCCAGATCGAATTAAGTGGCATGGTTCTCATACGATCGCCGTGCCGTACTGCTCGTGCTGTGCAAGCACTGAGCAAGTAGCCAGACCGTTAAGATTCTACCCAGCTGTTTGATACCCAAGTTCTCCCACGCAATGGTTCGGGGGCTGTGTATTCCCACACCGTTGACCATCTATCTAGTGGCCGTCGGCCCATCCCGCCTCAGCGCCCGGGTCTGTCTTGGGGTCTTGGGGTCTCGTGGGAAGGCCTCTCTCGGGCCTCTCGGAGGCATTTCCGGAGCCCCATGGGGGACTCCTGGGTCTCTTGGGGGCGTCTTGGTGGCCTCTGGGGCCTTCTTGGTGTTCTCTGGGAGCCCTCTTGGAGCGTTGTGGGGGCTTGTGTGGGCCGTCTTGGAGCCTCCTTGGACCGTCTTAGGACTCTCCTGGACGGTCTTGGGGCTGTATTGTATCCTTCTGGGGCCGTCCTGAAGGATTTGGGCGTAGTTGTGGGCGGCAGGGACGGCCAGGAGGCTCACGCGACACATTCTGGCAGTGCCTGGCAATGCAGACAACTTTGAGGTCCGAGCCCTCAAGAAGATTCAAAAATACTTTTCAACTGAATGAGCCTTACAGTGCTACATGTCGTGCTGAGGGCGCGGTGGCGGATAAAGGATCGTCGAGCGGTTAGCTCGGCTGAGCCTGCGCGAATTCGGCGCCCGTGCTGCATCTTGCGGTGGCGTCGTTGACCTCTGCGCGCGCGCGCGAGCCTCGTCGACAGTTTTCATGCTCCCGAGCAGGGGTGTATCTAGTCGCAACCGCTCAGCTCAATAAGCATCTTCATCATCACCACCATGCTTGAACCTCCCATGCATCAATTTTCCCACCTCGTCTCCCTCCCCCTCCTCCCATCCACCCTCTTCAAAATTCTCCTTCTCTTCCGTCTTGGCCTCCTCTGTCGATCCTCCTCCTCCTCCTCCTCATCGCAAGGTTCCTCGTCATCGGCGTCGTCCTCCTACTCTGCCCTCCTGGCCTCTGACTGAAGAAGGAAAGACTCGCTCCAATCCTTTGACCATGACACGCCCCTCCTCCCTCCGTCAAATCGACGCGGATGGCTCGGCACCAGGTCAGGGAGTCGTTCCGCCAAGATCCTCCTTGCAACGATTCGCTGCTACCGCGCTCGTGTCGAGTCGTGCCCGCCCTCTGGTTCTGACCACTTGGGGCGCACACGAGTCATTCGGTCGTGAAGCCAGTGCGCATCGGCGTGAAGAGAGAACGGCGTCGCCCCCCTGCCGAACAGCACCGCGGGCTGGCTGGACGACGGTCCCGTCGCTTCTCCGTGCGCGAGGCCCCAGAAGGTGCGATTGTTCGTGACCGCCATGTCCTAATTGTCCTGCGTCTATCCCGTCGTGTGGGAAGAGAGGTGCACGCGATAGTCGGCACGAGACGTTGCTGCGGCAACTGTGGAGAGGTGGGCAGGCGTGGGGGAGCCCTCAGGATTGTGAAAGAAGGGATTGAGGCTGCCGCGATGGATATCGAATGTGCTGTCAATCGGCTGCGTAATGCCGCTAATTTCGATGCCTTCCCGCAGTGAGGCATCTGCGTCACGGCTGTCAGGATGTCTCGCAGACGACGCGTTGGTTTGAACATGTCGCGTCTCTGTGGTTAGGAGAAGGGTTGCGAAGAGCTTATTCTTGGACGCGTCTTTGACAGACGAAAGCGTAGTACGGCTGAGAGGAGGATACGCCATTGCCGGTCATATTGTCAAATGCCTTTTGTGACCTGTGACACATTCTTCGTTCGCAGACGACCAGATTTGCGTAGGTTTCTCCGCAATAAGATGTTTACCACCGAAAAATGGCATCGTGTCTTCAGGAAGCGTTCTGCATCAGGGGGCTGTCGCACTGTCGCTGCATCCAGCGAATGATGAGGTGCAGAAGATTATGCGTACGTGCGTGTAGCGGGGTACCGGAAGATCGATGCTCGATTGAAAATTTGATTGTTGTGGTTTTTTTACGAAGGCCAGAGGCCTTTTAAGCCTTCTTGGAAAGGCCGCGTGGGTGGTACGGGGGGGGGGACCGAAGTGGAGCATGAAGAAAACGGCCTACAAGGGTCTATTGTTGTTGGCCCCTGCTGGCTCCAGAGGGGGCCCTCAAGGGCCCCTTTAGGGTCATTTCCCTCCGCCCTCGTGTAGGTCACACCCCCGCGAAATCACCGCCCGCGCGGGAAAAGGCCCGTCCCCGCCGGGCGCACCGCCGAGAGGGAGAGGAGAGAGAGACGGAGAGGGCCGCGCCCGAGAGGCGTCCTCGAGCGAGCGGAGGTCTACGCCCTGCTCGACGACGTGGCGCTGAGGCCAGGCCGGAGGGTGCGCGCCGTGTGTTGCCAGGAGTGCCCCCTGGCCCAGAGTGCCCCCAGGATTTCCAAGGAGGCCCCCGCGCCCCCTAGTCAAGGGCGTTCAAAACGCCCCTACCCTGGTTTACGAGGCGCTGTGCGCCGAACCTCCTGTGGGCTGACGGGGCGAACCCTGCATATCGCGCGTGTCGCGCGGCGTCCTGGCGGCTCTCTGGCCTTTGGGAGCTCCCAGGAGGTTTACGGACCACGCACTTGTAACCCAGGGTAGGGGCTTTTTTGCATCCCTCAATCTAGAGCATCCCTCACGAGGCACAGGGGGCCCGAGGGGCTCCAGAATGGGGCGAAAAGCTGGGGGCACCTTGGGCCAGAGGCGCCTTCGGCAACCCCCGAAGGAGGAGGGGGAGGGGGACCTGCAGAGGGAGGGGGCAGGGGAAGACTGCAGGCTTGAAGCGATGGTTCCGGGGCGCTTTCGCCCCGTCAGAGTGCCAAGTTGCTTGCTGTCACTCCTCCTCCTCCTCCTCCTCCTCCTCCTCCTCCTCCTCCTCCTCCTCTCCTCCTCCTCCTCCTCCTCCTTCTCTCCTCCTCCTCCCCCGCCTCCTGCTCCTCCTGCTCCTGCTTCTCCTCCTCATCCTCCCTCCTCCTCCGTCCTCCTCCTCCTCCTGCCCTGGTGAGCACGGTGGTCTCAAGTGTCCATCGTGGCTTGCATTCAGGGTCAGGGCAACCACAGGTCAAAACGAGGGCGTGCGCTGGGCTGAGGACCAGCTTCTAGTGACCATCTGCACCACCAGCCCGTGGCCAAGCGGGCAGGCGCCGGCCGGGCCCGTCGGGGAGCACCACACCCTCCCCCCCACGGCGGGTCGGGCGGGCCAGCGACAGCACGTGGTCACTACGGACCAGAGGAAGCCTCATTGGGCAAGCGAACACAGCAGGCCACTGGACCGTGGCTAGACCCCAGTGGGCAGAAAGATTTCCATCGGGAGAACTGGGTCGAAACCCCAGACATGACTCGGTGTTTCTATCCCGCCCCAGTGCCAGGCGGAAGAATCACGGCAGGGCACCACACCGCACGACGCGAGCGAGAGACTGCAGTGGGTGAGCCAGCGCACGGCCGACCAACCGAGTTGGGGCGCCCGCGCGTCGATAAGTATACCGCGGGGTCGTGCCCAACGCGGGCGGATCTGCGCCAAGCAATGACTTCGTTATTCCGATCCCACAAGTCCTGGAACTCACTCGCCTCGCATGGCACCCTGGGAGGGGTGGGGGAAGCCTTCCCCAGGAACGGAGGGTGCGGACCCGATCTAACTGCCCCGCAGGGCACGGCCACTCCGAGGCCAAGCGAACAGCCGGTCGGGCCCGTGGGGGAGCACCACCCAATGCAACGGCTCCCGCGAGCCACGCCCAGCGCTGCCACCCACTGCCCACGCGTGCCGGGGTGCGCCCACGTGTGTGCCGTGCAGACTCAGCCCGCAATGCGCGCGGGACAGTTTAGACATCTCCATCGTCGCTGGACGACTTTGCCCAGTGGGCCTCGACAACCGATCGCCGCTCGAGCCAGGAAACGTTGAGGTAGGGAGAGCAACATTGAACGAGCAGAGACAGAGAGAGATTCATACTAGCATTGCGTAGCGCGGCCAAGACACCGCCCGTACCTCTTTACAGCCCCAGCCCAGCACCAGTAGCAGCCACATCATGTGAAGACGACGTTGAGGTTACTTATGGTTGTTTTCTTGAAAACTTGAGGGTGTGTTTCTCACAGGTTTTGTGTTCGTGGCTTATTTGGCCCTTCGACAGGCGGGCACCCCCACTGCGAGGTGCCCCACTGGACTGCCGACAAGCAACCCATCCAGACAATCTCGACTACATTTCCCAGTTGCCGCCTGCATGCCGTGCAGCATTTGATCGATTCGGTCCTTTTAGTGCCCCGACTATGTGCATAGTTATGTTGCCATGCGAATGTCCTCTCTCCTCGACTTGCTTCGCCCCTACTATATACCCGTGCGGGCCTATTGACCTGCACCGTTGCTGTTCGCCCTTCTTCTCATTTGCGGCTTGCGTTTCTGTCGTTTGATTGCATTAGGCTGTTTCGTCCAAGCCGGTCTTAAACTTAATATGACATTGTGTTCTTATGGTCATAGTCCACGCAACGTGAAGGTATGACGGCGAGGTGGGTAGACACAGTGAAGGGAAGTGGAAGGCGTCTTCCTCCCAATCTCTTTCTTCTCCTCCCCCTGCCCGTACCCCCACTCCACTTCCTCTGTTCTCCGTCCCGCTTCTTTTCCGCTCCTCGTCCAACTCCTACCCATCCTGCTCCTCCCCCGCTCGTCATCACGCCCCTCTTCCCGTTCCTCCTTTCTCACCTTCTCCAGCCCCCCCTCTCCCCTCTCCCTCCCCTCCTGCCCGTCGTCACGCGTCGTCGTCCTCATGCCCTCCTCTTCAGGAGGAGGAGGAGAAGGAGGAGGACGTGGAGAAAGGATGGGTGAGGGGGAGGATGGGAGCAGGACGAAGAGGAAGGACGGGAGGGAGAGTGAGAAACCTCAGGACGGACGGGGAAGTGGAGGAGGGGTGGCGAGGGGTAGGAGGGAGGAGCAGGAGGAGAGGCTGGACGAGGTCGACGACGACGGCCCGCGGGCAGGCACGGCCACCTGGACCCCCTGCCCCAAGACTTTGCGGAGACCACCCGCCTTGGACGTCGTCGCCGCCGCCGCCGCCCAACCCCCTCCTCCCTCTCTCCCTGCCTCCCGTCCTCATCCCTCCTTCGCTCCGCCGCCGTCCACCTCCTCCTCCCTGCTTCCGTCCCTCCCTCCCAGCCCCCCCCCTCGGTGTTTCCTCCGAGCGCCCCCGAGCGCGTGGGACTTGGCGAGGGGGGAGGGGGCCGCACAGGAGGGGGAGAATGAGGAGGGAGGTGTGGATGGTAAGGATGAGAGAGGGGAAGGAAGAAGCGTAGGATGATGACGATGATGGTGCTGCTGCTGTTGCTGCTGCTGCTGAGGAGGAGAAGGATGAGGGTGAGGACGACGATGACGACGATGATGCTGCTGATATGGTGGTGATGGTGATGGCGATGGTATTGGTGATGCTGGTGATTGATGGCGATTGTTGATGCTGATGCTGCTGATGATGAGACTGGTGGTGGCGATGATGAGGATGGTGTTGGTGGTTGCGATGATGGTGATGATGGTGATGATGGTGATGCTGCTGGGGGCGATGATGGTGATGATGATAGTGATGGGAGTGATGATGGCGATGCTTGTGATGATGCTGATGGTGGGGATGTTGATATAGGTGATAAAGAAGAAGAAGAAGAAGCGAACACCAAGATTTGACGAAGAAGGTGAATAATAAGAGTCATCCGAATAATAAGAACATGATGATGATGCTGATGATGATGATGATGCTGCTGATGCTGATGCTGATGATGATGGTGATGGTGATGGTGATGGTGGTGATGATGACGACGACGACGACGATGACGACGACGAGGAGGAGGAGGAGGAGGAGGAGGAGGAAGAGGAGGGAGGAGACGGAGCTGAGGTCCGTAGCCATTCTGGCCCAAGGTCCTCGAGGGCGCTGTGTTGAGCGCCTCGGTTACCGTACTTCTCCGTGCTCTTCCTTTGCAAATGGCGCCCGCCACTCTGGGAGCGCTGGTTTGGGGCGCCCTCTCCGCAGCGGCAGCCGCCACAAGGGCAGAGGGCCAGGACCTCGTCGTCGAGCTCGCCGAGCAGGTGCTGGCCAACAGGCAGGAGATCCTGCAGATCCCCTGGGAGTTCAGCGTCGAGAGAGACGTCGGATACGTGGGCGAGCACCCCATCTCGAAGGAGAAAAAACGCCATGAACATAAACTTTCGGCGCTCCGCGCGGATTTCTTCGATCGGCGTTGGAACCCCCTCCCTGGCGCGCTCCGCGCGCCAGGGGCGGCGCCGGAGGCGCCGCCAGAGAGGGGGGTCCAGCGCAGATCCAAGAAAGCCGCGCGGAGCGCCGAAAGTGTATGTTTATGGTTATTGTTCTTCTTCCTACCATCCTGGAGAACTCGACCACGGAGGTTAAGCTGAGTTCGCTGGTGACCGTTCGCGAGGTCCAGGACGGGCTTCCCCCGAACATCGCAGTCGGCGCGGTGGCTATCAAGGACAGCGACCAGCCCGCCGCGCCTCCCTCGGACTTTCGCACAGGAGGCACGGTCGGCGGCCTGGATTACATGCATCTGAACGGCGTGGTGAACCCGACGGCCGACTTGACCGTCTGGCAGTGGCAGAGGAACCGGTGGTTCGGCTTGAAGAAATGGCTCGAGACGTGGATCAGCCGATACCCGGAGAAGTTGGTCGCCATACACTCCTTCGGCGACGTCTTGTACGGCGGTTGCGACGAGGCCACTCTTCAGTTCAAGTACGATTCCCTCGTCGCCGCCAGCGGGAACACGACGAAGATCGTGCTGGCTGCGGAGGTGTCCCCTTATCCGTCGGACATGGGTTGGGCATACGAAAGGTGGAACGAAAGCCTCGTAAACCGCACCCACTCGATACTCGACAGTTACGGCATGTCGCATGACTGGGCGGAGACTTACGCGAATTGCAGCGCCAGCACTCCTCACAGCCAGTGCAGCCAGCCGCCGAGGTACCAGTATGCGAATGCGGGCTTCATCATGGGGCCCGCGAACGACGTCTTCGAGATGCTGTCCGGTCTAAGCACTTACCCTGGCCTCGAGAACCGTTTGGTGAACGAGTATTTCCTCGCCCACCCCGACCTGGTGACCCTCGACTACCCGGGCACCCTTGTCCTGTCTTTGCACAACATGGTGAAGAACGGAAACACTCCTGTCGAGGTCGTCACCACCGGCGGGAGCAAGTCCTTGAGGAACAAGGAGACGGGCCAGGCGGTGTGCTTCGTCCATGGGAACGGCAACTCGTTCGACGCCATCAGGGGGTGGGCCGAGCAGCTGACAGCGTAGGGCGCCGTTGGCGAAAGTAGATCGGCGGTGGCCTGCGGCATCTGAACCTGGCGAGGAGAAGGAACTGAGGAGGATGAGGAGGAAAGGAAACATAACCAGGCGGAGTTAGAGAAGGATGAAGAGAGCAAGCGCGAAACGAGAGGAGAAGGAGGACGAGGATGAGCAAAAGGAGGACGAGGAGGAGGGTCGCCAGCGTCGATGCAGGCCTGCTCGATTTCGTGCTTGTTTTCAGCTCTGCGCTGGAGGCCTCCAGAGGCTCCCACTTGTGTTTTCGGCTGCGCTCCAGCAGTCGTCAACCATGGGTCGCAGGAGAACCAAGCGCATCGTACAATTAATGTGTTAGCCAGCGTGGGCCCCAAGCAGCGTGTCCTAGCATACCATGTGATGCAATCTGTGCGGTGCAAGCTACAGCCGGAGCCCTGAAGAAGGAACCCTTCTCGTTGGGGAGGGGCTCCGCGTTCCTTATATGTTTCGCAGCTTGCCTGAGGTTTTCCTATGTTTTGGATCGGAAATCGAAGTTTAACTTATGGAAAAAAGGGGCCTCGTTCCTTATTTTGGGTTCCTTAGGTCAAGGCCCCGACTGTGTGTGGTGCAGGCTGTGCGGTGCAAGCTGCGTGGCGCAGAGCGGCGACGGACCGGGACGGGGCCGCTGGGCCCCGCGGGCGGGCCTTCTGTCCAGCGGCCTCCGGCAATGCCGCCACCGTGCCAGCGCAGCATCTTGGGCGGAAACTTCGGGAGCTCCCAAACGGGGTGGTGACCACACCGTGTGGCGAGTCGGTGGGGATTCGGGGTCACCGCACGGTTTTGGGACTTGGGTCGTTCGCCGAGGATGTTTCGGGCGACTGGAGCCTCCAGGGTCCCAAAACCGTGTGGTGACGGACCGTGCGGTGAGGTCTTTGCGGATTTCGAGGTCACCGCCGGGTCTGTCACCACACGGTTTTGGGACACACAAAACATGCTCGAGAAGGCAAGGGGGGCGTGCTGTGGGCCTCTCGGGGCAGAAGGCTCGAAGTGTTGGTTCGTGTTCTCGCTCTTGGATTCTTGGCCGGGGGGCGTCTTGGGGCGCTCTGGGGCAGTCTTGGGCGCCGCTTGGCCCGTACTGGAGCCCTCTGGGGTCGTCTTGGAGCTCGCTTGGGGGCCTCGTGCGCCGTCTCGGGGGAATCTTGGAGGCCTCCTGGGCCGTCATGGAGCGCAGGAAGCTCGAAAAGGTGAGAACCCAACAAACTGCAAAAAAACTAAGAGAAAACGATGCCGTTTGCGTCTTATAGCCATATTGGAGGCCTCTGGTGGCAATTCTTGAGCCTTCAATGCCGATGGAGCGGAAGGCTAGACTTGTCGGTTCGTGTTGTCCCTCGTGGGTTCTGCTTTGTGCCGTCTTGGGACCCTTTTGGGCAGCCTCTTGCGCCATCTTGGGGCCCTCTAAAGCAGTCTTGGGGCCCTCTCGGGGGCATTTTGGGGCCGTCGTGGGCTGTCTGGGGGCAGTTTGGGGGGCATCTTGTGTCGTCTTGGGACGTCGGCTCGAGAAGACGAAAAAAAATATGTTCAAACAACAAAGTTGCGGGCCATAACTGATGTTTGCCTCTCGAGGTCCTCTGGGGAAGGTTCTTGAGGCTCAGTTGGGACGCCTCGAAGGCCTCGACGGCAGTCTTGAAGCTATCTTGGGCCGTCTTGAGGCCAACGTGGCCCGTCTTGGACCGATGCTGGGCCGTTTTCGAGGCATCTAGGCCTCGGGAGCGCGAATTTGATGTATTTTGCGATGGGTTGTGGCCTTTGCATTTTTGCGATGGGTTGTGCACGCAGCCGGGCGCTTCCCGAGAGGGTGGGGGCCCCTAAGAACATTGCAGAAACACTACCAGGCAGCACCTGGCATTCCAGCGCGCCTCAGCGTGCCAGGGGGCACGGTGGCGGATTGGAAGAAATGGGGCGGCGACTGGCGGGAACGGGGACGCCGGGGCTGCAGGCGGGCCCAGTTCTTGAGAAGCGAAGCAGGAACCCCACCTGGTCCAAGCAGTAGTTGGGGACTGCGCATAGGTCAGGAGGACGTCTGGGAGCGGCCTCAGCTCAGAAATCTTTCTCCGAAGCAGATGCAGTGTTTGATGAGCGTGTTTCGGTTGTTTTCGCAGTGATTTCTGGCCTTCCAGCCTCCAGCTGCGGAATACACCTCCAGGTCAAAACTTTGAGGATCTTAGAGCCAACGGCGCCCGCCTGCGCCCCATGCGACTGCTCTCAAGAGCGGTGGTTGTGCTTTTGCTTCTTCCTCTTCCTCCTTCTCCTTCTGCTCAACCTCGCCTCTCCCTCATGCTTGTCCTCGTCCATCGTCCTCTGCCTCGTTTTTCTCTGGCCTCGGTCTCATCATCGTCCTCGCCTGCTGCTGCCGCTGGGGCTCCTTCCCCCCACGAGGAGGAGGAAGAAGAAGAAGAGAAGGGGAGCTACTAGGAATTACGATTGGTCCCTGAGGATTCCTAAGAACCTTTTAGTTTTCCCAAGGTTTCTGAGAGCATGTGGGGCTTCTTGCTTTCTATGGAACTGGACCTGGCTGTCTATCTGGCGGCTCTGTAGTCGCCGTCGCCGCTTCGTCGCCGCCCGTCGTCGGGGCTTGTTTGTCGGTCTAGCGGCTAAGTCGTCGCCGTCGCCGCCCCGTCGCCGCCTCGTCGCCGCCCGTCGTCTGGGCCTGTCTGTGTGTGGCGGCTATGTCGTCGCCGTCGCCGCCCCGTCGCCGCCTCGTCG